GGGCCCTTCAGACCTCCTCTGTGATACAGCCCGGCCTTTCGGGCGTGGCTCCGTCGCGCCTACTGCATTCGTAGGTCAAATGCTGGACCAATACTCGGCTTTCCTCTCATCTCTCCACTTGATCAACGCTCCTTTCCACCATTTCATGCTCCGTAAATGTGTTGAAAATAGCAGGTATGGTGCTATTGGTGAAATAATGTTGATCATCCGTTCAGATGAAAGAAAAGCCGGAGACTAGGTAGGTATGAAATGTGTGGAAAAAGGTAAGCGCGGCGGAGCCGCGCCCGCCCGGCGAAGCCGTGCTGTATCTCAGAAAGAGGCGCGCCGGCGTCAGCCGGCAAAGCCGGCTAGTAACTCTAACGCCAGCACGTCACAACATACCCAACCAAGGTCGTCCCATCCAAAACGTGCAGTAAGTAGAGAAATGACAAAAAAGGGGCTATTGACGTGGGCTTCTTAAGCTGGTAAATTTACGTGAAATTCGGCCAACCTGGCCACAGAAGAAATTCAATAAAATTTAAAAGAAACCCGGTTGGTCAAAACCCGGTTGGTCAAATCAGCATCGGATTATGGAATCGGGCTTCATAAGTGCGCCGCTCAAATTTAACGTACGTTGGATCATTAGCTGCACATAACAGTGTTCCCAAATGTGAAAGACCTGGCCAAACGACCAAAGGACGAGCAAAAAAAGTTGTGGCCGAGGAGGCCCCATGATGTTCATCCTGTACAGCAAAAGTGGGTGGATAAAGTCGAGCGCTGATTGTCTGATCATGAAGACCGGACCGTGTTCGAGCATCTCAATACTGATAATCCGACCACTTCCCGTGTTGTGTCCGAAAAATCAAAGATGTTCGGAAGAGTGCAGGTTTCGCTACCTCACTTTCTTGTAGAAGCACGAATGCAGAACTGATTAGATGCCCGAGCAGCGATATTCATCGCCTAAGACGTCATTCACAGCTGTGAAAACGCAACGTGGTCCCTGGCGAAAGATGACAACAACTTGGAACTGACACTCACAAGCGTCCGATTTGTGTGAATGCAGATGAGACAGCCCGGGTTCTGTTACCAGGAGTTACGTTGGCCCAGACGGATAATAACCATGACAATGGACTTTGGCCCTGCGGCTTTCAAACGGCTCCATACAGAAAACAAAATCGACACTGTCGGTGTCCATTGCCTGCTTCCAATCAGATCGACAAAGGGGTGGTAACACACAACTACAGGAGGGCTACCATTGTTCGTCACCTCCAACAGCACTACTGGCAATCGCGCTATTCGCTCAACTACACCGTGCGATTTCAGCTGCCCTAGCTAAAGGGGTCCAACGGCAAAAGCCACGACAATTCATCGATCCTGAAAGTGGGCTAATGCCGTTTGGACTCCAGAAATTTCGGCTCCGAGCTCATTTTCAAATTGCCTAAGCCACCAAATCCACTAAAAACTTGTATATAGGGGTAATTCAACATCCTGATTACGAGTATGACACTCATTCTTGGCGCTGGCGCCAAGAGAGGACACTACGATTACCTCCTGGGCTCAGCCTTAGCAGAGCGCAGGTAACCGTAGTGTCATCCATTAGCGCCAGCGCCAAAAATGAATGTCATATTCGTGATCAGGATGTTGAATTACCCCTATATACAAGTTTTTAGCGGATTTGGTGATCTTGCCACTTTTAAAATGAGCTCGGAGCCGAAATTTCTGGAGTCCAAACGGCATTAGCCCTGAAAGTGGCATCAACAAAAATGCACCCGCAGTTGTTGGAAAAACGAAGATGCCAGTAGTTCAAAAGCACCTGTGCACTGGGAGTGGTCACTGATGGAAGATGGATCTACCTGCGATAATTCGCCATCACAGACAGTGGATTAGGGACTTACGTATAGATGACAAGGTGCTGAGTAACTCGATAGGAAGAAAAAAAAAAACGGCAACTGCCGCAGACAGAGACCCCATTCTGCACTCAGCCAGTTCGATTTCCGCAATTCTACTAACCAATGGAGGAAAGCTTTCCAGTCTCAAGGGCGGCTGGCCCGGCCTTTTTTCAAAACGGCTATTTATTGCCATCTGTCGTAGGGGGCAGCTATCATGAGATCATGAAAAAGTTGGTGTTCATGTTTGCTGTGCGGCCACCGGGTATGCCAAAAAAGGAGCGAAATACCTCTCTCCCAGGAAGGGCCATTTAAACCACCAAAATGCAGTCCAGTACGCTTGTAGCGTCGAATACACGTTGTATTGAGGGTGATCTTCTCTTGAATGTTGTAAACCACTTCAAATATGCCCATTTATAGAGCACGATTCCTTATGCGTAGTGGGGAGATCGCAGAAGGGTGTAGTATCATGAGCAATGGACGCCACCTTTCCCTCGTGGTGGTCAAATGGCGCAGTGGAGGATCGGGCTCTGGAACGTGATGGATGGTGGGTTCATGGATCGGATCCCGACACTGGCGCCACTTTTGCATTTGCTGGGACTGCGTCCTTTAGCATTTCCAACTGTCTGTAAATGGGTGCAAAGCGCAAGTATACGATTTGGCACGTTCTGTAGTATTTCATGAGTTGATGTAGATATTTTTCGTCTATGATCTGCAAACGTTGAATTTTTTAATTCATTTTGCGGCAAGCGCTTGTGCTTCACGTGCCTCGTAGAAACTTATCACAATTGCTGAACTTGTGTGTAATAAATGAATGAAAAATCCAACGTTTGCAGATCATAGACGAAAAATGTCTACATCAACTCATGAAATGCGACAGAACGTGCCAAATCGCGTATATTTGCGGTTTGCACCCATTTACAGACAATTGGAAATGCTAAAGGACGAAGTCCCAGCAAATGCAAAAGTATGGCCAGTGTCGGGATTCGATCCAATGAACCCACCATCCACCACGTTCCAGAGCCCGATCCACTATCCACTGCGCCATTTGACCACCACGAGGGGAAGGTGGCGTCCATTGCTTATGACACTGCCACAACCTTCTGCGAACTCCCCACTACGCATAAGGAATCGTGCTCCATAAATGGGCATATTTGAAGTGGTTTACAACATTCAAGAGAAGATCACCCTCAATACAACGTGTATTCGACGCTACAAGCGTACTGGACTGCATTTTGGTGGTTTAAATGGCCCTTCCTTGGGAGAGGTATTTCGCTCCTTTTTTGGCATACCGGTGGCCGCACAGCAAAAATGAACACCACTTTTGTAGTCTATGTACGAGCCCCTACAAAATGCAAAAGACCGTTTTGAAAAAGCGGGGCACGCCCTGAACGACCTTCCTGGTAAGCCCTCAGCCGCCAGGTGAATCATTGACAAGAACTCTATGGCCTTGTAAGTGACGACTTTCATGCTTTTTCTTCGTGCAGCTAGCGTTTTTCACTGAAAAGCGGCCCGTGAAGGTGTGGACTGGAGGTGGAGTCAATGGAAAGAAGTAGGCATCATTGCCCTATAGCGCCCCTCCCTCACGGTTTTTTTTGCCTCGAAACCGGTACAGAGTTGCTCGTCACGGACCACAGTACCATCTCGACGCCATATTTTCATCCTCTATACCTGATCGCGGACCGTGCCTTCAAAGCCAAGACATTAGTTTTTTGCCTATTTTCCTCTTCATGTTATTTCAATAAGACCTCCCACGTTTTCGAAAGGGATGACTCAATGAATAGATTTTGAACTTGTATTGGAAATGCCATATTCATTTTTCGCATGAAGTTCTTGGCGGATGGCATTTGACTGCCCCCGAAGCTACAAACCGTTTTGTTCCTCTGTATTTGTCATTATCGAGGCTCGCGTTAAACTTGAAAGTGAGTGGCCAGCACCCTCCTTTGCTCAAATGCAAACTTACAACGGCTTGGAGAAAATAACAGAAGAATCAAGATGGTGAAAAGTTGCTTACGTAGTTAAGGACAATTGACTCGCGTTTGGATTCTAGAGCACAAGGAGCGACTTCCGCGTTTTCCCCCACGTTCCGCGTGCACCATGTGGAACAAGTCCGTGAAGATTTCTAGACTGGGCAGAAACTCGTCGAAGCCAACGACGTCTCAACGGTTCGCATCAGGCTGTTTATCTTTCGACACTGTTTTGGTGTAGGGGCCTCCCAACAGACCTGTTTTGGTGTAGGGGCCTCCTAGCAGTACCTTTCAAAAAAAATAGAAAAAAATGGCATGGTTGGTGTGTCTAACAATAAGAGCAAACAGCTACCATAAAAGTAAACATGGCAATAATGCGAGCAATTTCAAAAGTTACTTCGTCTTACTCACCCTTTGACAGCGTATAGCAAGTATGCCTTTTTAGGAAGCAACAATATCCGCTTATTGGTGAGAATAGCATCGACGATTTCCTCAGCGACCACCTCAGGTGAGAGATATTCCGTTGACGGAGCAAGCCTGGAAATCAGTTCCCACAACATCATTTGTGAGCTACTTTGTCAGCCAACTCACGGAATTTCGGTAGCCATCCTGGTCCGGATGAACGACGGGCAGATCGTGGTGAATTGGATGTTGCGCCTTCTTTTTTTATAGGTCTCATTCTCGAGAGCTTCCTGAAGCATAATTTCTCGCCATGTGATTCATGAAAGGAGCATAATTCGAAACGCACATCCGGTGAAAAAGCAACGGAATCAGACAGGTCGGAGAGATCTCATTGCTCAGAGTGAATATGTGACTTGCGCTAATGCCCGTACTGTTGCTCAACGTCACACTCAGGAACTGTCTACGCTGGCTAGAGTTCCAGTGCAGCTGATTGGCGAAGTCTACGAGGACATCCGGGTGCAGGCAGGTGCTCCAGTGAGTACACCGCTGAAATTTCTCCCCGCTTGTTCTTATATTCCGGTCGTAAATTCGGGATATCGTGTCTGCGTCGAGAAGCACTGTGCTTCGCATTAATAGTTCAACATCTATCCCACTAACCTTATAGTTCTCGCACCCTCAAAGGCAGTTGAAGCGATAATTTAGTACTCCGGCTAAAATGGCAGCAGGTATGCTAAATAGTGGGAAAGGCTAAAATGGTAGCAGGTATGCTAAATAGTGGGAAATGGGGAAAAGCGAAGTGAAACGATCAGAAACCTGCGAAAAAGCCTTTGTTCTACATTAAAAAGTCGCTCAAAACAAGTTTCCCGTTGGCATCGTGCCGCTCACCGCTACGCTACGATGCCAACGGGAACGGTTGCACGCATGCATTCATATAGCACCTCAACCGCTTCATATTAATCCCTTCGCTTCATACTGTACTTTGTAAATGATGCGATAGGGGGAGAGCGAGAGCGAGAGTAGCACCAATCGTAACGATCGCAATGTATGAAGGCTGCCCAATTTCAAGGCAATTGGCACGTACACCCACAAATGTCCGGCCGATGCTGATGCTCGTATGGATTCTTTGCGAGGTACAATATGAGGAGGAGGGATCGATATAAAGCGGCAGCAGTACTGCGTGATATGTGAGTACATACATGCAGCCGTACCAACCGTAGTAGTAGTCGGCACGATGCCAACGGGAAACTCGTCCCAAATTGTTTTCGAGGTGTAGAACAAAGGCTTTTTTCAATGGTTTTGACCTTCACTTCGTTTTTCGCCATTTTCTCCATCTACATGGCACCCATGCTACCATTTCAGGTCCAATACCAAATCACTGTGCCCATCCCTATGCGAGGAGGCATGGCTACGCGAATATTTCGTGAATGTGGCGACGACTGCGCTTTTAGTGAGTTATTTTTATTTTGAGGTAATATGTGTTCCTTTACCCCACACAAACTAAGATGACCCATTTCTAACTGAAATATCGTGCGGCCAATTTCTCCTGAGTCCCGTTCAAATAAAGTACAGAGCGACTTCTAGAGATGTTACGCCGCCGTTCCAACCGACGTGTAGTGTACCTGACTAGAGCGGGTTTTGGCCATCACAAATTGCCTTTACTATGCACTCTCGATTAGCGACAGTAGTGCACCCAGGGCTCCTAGCCTAATTACTTCATTTGCGAATGATTTTGTCATTCAGGTCATCGCGGGATGTGTTCGAAGGACCTAGCGTCGCCACCAGGTCATTGAACGCCCCCGAGATTTGTGAAGTCGTGTCGCACCCTTTATGCATTATTCAGTACCATTGCTGGCGCCAACAGTTGAGGATTTCAGTCATAAGAATTCTGACATAGCGTTTACCTGGAATCCGAAGGCACCAAATTTCGACGCTGAGTAGTCCACGAGATCTGAAAGCTCTTCGAATTCTCTTCAGTGCTTATCGAACAAGGAGAGACGTGAACGAGGCCCAGTAAAGTGAGATTGAACAAATTTGGTGTATAGACGCCCTATCAGACTGACTGCAGAAACTCACCTCTAGCTCCTACAACTCCCGCCATTGAGCAAATGCAGACAATGTGACCAGCGTTTCGTTCGACCATGCGAGGCAGAAACGCTTTTGCCATCTAAATTTGACGTAACTTCATCTATATATTTGCGTGCGTCATCGAAATTACTTACCCACATATGAGCTATCATGTTGATATGAACCGTCTTCTCTATCAGGTCATCAGTTTTGTTCAGAAAATCCCCATATTCATGGGCTACACCTGCATTATTGACGACAATATCGACTTCTCCTATTTCACTGAAGACTCGGTCCGCTGCTGCGTAAATTTCCTGTCGTTGCGACATGTCCACTCGAAAGACGTACACCTTAACCTGCTTCGTACACGTATTTGATCTTAACTGTATTCATATCCTATATACAGGGGAGGGGGGGGGCAAAAAAGAACTTTTTCCTCGGCTTTCAAGACGCTATAACTTACACTTTGGATTCCGATTGGACATCATAAAATTCAACGGCACATTGAAGCCTAGCATGATACTCCGCCGCAGCCTTCTGGACGAGCGCCATCGAGAGATTCTGCCACGCGACCGTGATCAATGCCTGAGTTCAGGGAAGTCCTTGATTTGTGCGCTACTGTAGACCACTGAACTTCGCCCGGACCCAGTAATTGAGGGGGTTGATGTCAGGCGACACACTTAGATCTTCCGTCTTCTTCACTTACTCAACGCCCTTCGATTCTCAAGTAGGCGAGAGTTTTTCCAACCCCTTCGATTCCATGTGGTGGCACCCAATCCTGTAGCAGTACGAAGTTTCCAAGAAGGTACAGGCGACAACATGAAGGCAGGATAACTCCTCGAGTTGGTCGATGTAACCGTCAGCCGTTCACTTTCAGTCCGGGGTCCTGGAAGAAAATGTCAAGATGATATAGTGGACCATAGCGACCTTGTCGGAACTGATTGATGTTGGGGTTTTCAGATCAATAGTGCCGGTCTGAGCGATATCCGTCCATGGGTGACTATTAGGTTGTCGCATAAGTTCTTATACACGTGTTTGATCCTCTCCTATTTCGTTCGCATGGATGTTGGTATTACGTCATCACGTGTGCGTGACGTGTACATTATACTCTTTCATTACACTAGCTATCACTCACCGAGCTTGCATTTGCAGTACACAATGTCGCACAATTTGCACTGACAAAACGTACCTGCGCCACTGTTTGGTTTTGCTCCACGATTTCGGCTGGAATGCAAAGGAAGCCCATACCAAGCTGGTGGATACATACGGTGAGGACGTCATCTCTTACATGACATGCAAGAATTGGTTCGCCAAATTCAAGAAAGGAGACTTTTCTCTCGAAGATGCTCCGAGGTCGGGTCGGCCGATGGAGTTGGATTTGGAAGTACTACGTTCCACCGTGGAGGAGGACCCGTACCTCACCACCAGAGAAATGGCGACCATGCTTAGCTATGATCATTCGACGGTTGCACGTGGACTAGAAAAGCTCGGCAAGGTAGCAAAGCTTGGTCGATGGGTCCCACATGAACTGTCCGCTTATGACCTCTCGAGGAGGGTGACCACCTGCACTTCTCTCCTCACTTTCCAAAAGAGGCTTCACTTTCTCAACTCGATGATCACTGGAGATGAGAAGTGGGTCCTCTACGATAACCCTGTGAGGAAGCGGCAGTGGGTCGACAAAGGAGAACAGCCAGAAGCCACCCCAAAGGCCGACCTTCACCCCAAAAAGGTTCTCCTGTCCTGTTGGTGGTCCAGAAGAGGCATGGAGTACTGGGAGCTGCTGGAGAAGGGACAGACGATTGACGCTTCCACATACGTGACCCCTACTTCCACCATGACAACGCCCGACCTCACACTGCAAAGGCGACCCAGGCCGAGCTGGAGAAGTACGGATGGCTGATGGTCGCCCACCCTCCCTACAGCCCTGACCTCGCTCCTTCTGACTACTGGCTGTTCAGCCACCTGCAGCGCTATCTGGACGGAAAAAAGTTCGAAACAAAGGATCAGGTCAGAAAGGCGCTCGACGACTTCTTCAAGTCCCAGCCTCCGTCGTTCTGGAAGGATGGAATCGACAAGCTGCCTGAGCGCTGGCGTCGAGTAGTGAATGGTGATGGTGCATACCTCTAATCTCCAGGCTGGTTCGTTTTTGAGATATTTACAAAAAAGTCGTGTATAAGAACTTATGCGACAACCTAATAGATACAAGAAGTTTCGCAGCTATTTGGGGTGACGTGAATTCCACAGGCCTTCTGCCAAGTCATGTTGGCAAACGTCGAGTTGCGCTTCATATTTAAGTAGTACATGAAGCGTGATTGGCAAAACCGCTGTCCTGTCTGATCGGGGGAATATCTGTTGTGTCTCCGCCCTCGTTGCTCGAATCCACGTCTTCTGTCTGCGCTGCGGAAAGCTTATTGAAATGCCACTCAGCCAAAGTTCCGTTTTTTTCTGCCCCCTGTTAATCTTCCTTCGAACGTGCCTCACTGAATCAACCTGACGTGGCAGCTAAGGGAGGCCACTCGACGCGACAAACAGAGAACCAAACATGGACTGATACTCACAGTATCGCTGAGGTAAGCCTACTATGCCGCACATTCGGCGAAAGCTACGGAGAACAAAGCACGGCATTAATCCACTACGACTTTTTCCAGAAAGTTTTCGGTGGTGGAACTGTGTCCACAGAAGTTACTCAGTGCCCTGATCACGAATAGGATATAAATTTCTGTCGCAGGCGCTATTCGGGCCAGCAACGATCCCACCAAAATCGATGAAAACTTGTACGCGGCGGTTGTTTGGCATCCTGGTCGCGAATATCACGCTCGCTAAGGCAGCGTTCAGACTTCGCGACGGCAGCGCCTCGACGCGATCGATGCAGTTGAAAGCATGCGCATTGATCGCGTCGAACGCGCGACCGAGGCGCTGCCGTCGCAAGGTCTGAACGCTACCTACTGCTGTTACCACTTGGAGCCAAAAGGCGTCAATCTGGAGTCATCACCTTTCTCACCAAAACTCTTTCCCACGTTGAAAACTTGTAAGCGGGGGGGGTGCATTCGAGATCCTGACCACGGATATGACATTCATCCTTGAGGATGGCGCCAATGTATGGCACTTTGTTCATCTGCGCTCTGCCAAGGCTGACCTGGCAAAGGGAATCATTCCTCTTCTCAGGCTCAGCCTTAGCAGAGCGCTAAACTGTGCTCATGCCGGAAAACGAAAGCCTTTTCCAAAATCAGGGTATAAGTCAGGCCTATTATGCCATTCATCAATTTTGTGCAAGAGGTGATCGCGCCAAATGGCTGACATTTGGTGGCGAAATGGCTCCAGCGACAAAAGTATTCGGTACCACGCTGTGGAATAACCCTCGTATACATATCTTCATGGATTTCAGTGGCAGAGGTGATGAAGGAAAGTAATGTCAAGTCCTTCTGCCCCTTTATCATATACCCAAAGAAATTCCCAGCTGAATAGTTCGTTAAACAAGGAAAATACTTTCAAGCCGCGTCTTCATTGTGTCGAGTACGAAGCAAGAGATTAGATAGAACTGCAAATGGATGAAAAAGGAAAAAGATTTTCGTTTGTTCACGCACCTCAGCACCTAGATTCTCGCACTGTCGTTTTGTTTCTGCATTGGCTTTCTCATCAATATCCCACAATACCAATTTGCAGCCAGCTTGAAACGAAATTCAGCGCTATATTAGTCGTCTCCAAGACCATCCCGGAATCAGTAATCAGGCACCACCTAACAATCTCAACTACAATGAGAAACGTAAAAGAAAGAAATAACCAACTGTGTACACGTCTACACAATGACCATCAATGTGTTTCCGTTCTGAAAAGCTCCAAGAGCTACAATTGCTAACGAAGGCGCTGATCATTTCACTTAGTGTGAGCAGTAGCACTTTTAGGAGGTATTCAGTTAAGAGAATAATTCCTGGAAATTTTAAACCACGTTAGGAATTGAAAAAATACTTCTAATTGACTCTTGTTTGTTTCCCAGACTTCTTTTGTTTGCTGATGGCCCGCCTCTATGAACCACAATCATAATGTTGGGACATACCCTGCTCCGCATTCGTTACTTGCACTCATGGCATTTTTGAAAGTTCCAACTTAAAGCTTTCAAAGAGTTCAAATGTGAAAAACGCATGAACACTTTCGGACCGCGACCTGCGTATAACGTTACTACCAACCATACAAACTACATGAAGCTGGTATCGTCGCGGTCGTACGGGTCGTGTAGGGAGGCGTGGAATGAGCTCGCCCGTGGATGCGTTTTCTACCAATAATGGACGAATTGGCATAAAAGCGACGTTGCTAACTGACCATTTAGCAGGAGAGAGATAGAAAAGGGCTTGGTGAGCAGAAGAGAGAAAGAAAAGGGTAGAGAAGAAGGAGAAGAGAGAGCGATGCCATTATCACGTAGCATAACCTCAAAGGTTGCCTACCAGAACCATGCACGTTCAAGAGGTTTCCGCCCTACTTCATCGCGAACCTGAGCTTAAGGTGCGAAGCAAGAACTCACAACAAGCTAACCAGGCAATCATTCACAGTGCTTTTCAGTTTTTTGAAATGCATGCGGGAAATTTTTTCTTCCCGAGAGCGTCCGCAAAAAAAAACTATTCGAAAAAGTAGAGCTGGTTTGTAAGAGTCGTTATCGACCATGGATGGTGAAGAATGTCGCCATACCATACGCCGTTACCACGCTGATATCGGAACCTTTTGAGAATTTTAAGGCTCTGGAAAGAAGAGAGAACTTTGGAGCGTATTGAAGGAACTATTAGGTTATCCCATTCAAAAGTGCCGTCGGTTTTATTCGAATAAAACAAAGAGGAGAATAGATAAAAAGTAATATTTTGGCTTCAAGTTAGTAAATCCCTCCTTCACCAATGACCCGCTCCCAGTGCCCCGAAAGCCTTTGGACCTCTGGTACCTTCGATTTTTCAACAAGTGCGAGTAAATTGCTGTTGATGCCAATTTCGGCGAATGACAAAACATTGTAGCGTTTGCCGTCGGAGAGTACTCTCGACTGACGAGAACAATTGGAATCGCTCGGCTTTATGTCGGGCGAATGGGGCGATTGAACCCAGGTCTCAGTATTGTTTGTGTCCCAGCACTGCCCTACAATACAGTTACTCGGGGTCTGGCACTATGACGAGCAACGGTGGCCTTCTTGTAGTTGTGTGGTATCATCCATTTGTCGATCTGATTGCCGAGGAACAGGCAATATACACCGACAGCGACGATTTTATTCTCTGTATAGAGCCGCCTGAAAGCCACAGTGTGGGAATCCTTATGATGATCATCCACTTGCGCCCACGTAACTCCTCATGGTAGA